AATGTAAAATTGTGAAATTGAAAAATTGAAATTGAAAACTGGAAAATTGAAGAATTTAATATTGAATAACCGAAATTCAAAAATCGGAAAATTGTGAAATAAAAAGTTTTGATTTTCCCGATTTTTAATTTTTCAATTTTCAGCAAAAGGAACAAATTTATTCAAACTGACATTATAAAAAATACAAATAGAAAAACGGAAAAATAAAATGTCCAAAAATTGAAAAATCGAATAATGGAAAATCAAAAAATTGCAAGATTGCAGAATTGAAAAATTGAAAGATAGAAACATTGAAAAATCAAATATTGAAAAATTAAAAAAATTAAAATAAAAAAACAGAAACATTGAACAGAATTGAGAAATGGAAGAATTATAAAATTGAAAAATTCAATACTGGAAAACCAAAATTCAAAAATCGAAAATTTGAGAAGTCGAAGTTTCCTTTTTTCCAATTTTTAACCGAAAGAACAAATTTATTCAAACTGCAATTTTGAAAAATTTGAATGTCGAAAATTGAAAAGCTGAAAAACTGAAACTAAAAATTTAATACTGAAAAACCGAAATTCAAAATCCAAAAATTGTGAAATCGAGAAGTTTTCATTTTCTCGATTTTACATTACTTATTCCTTTTCTGAAAATTGAAAATAAAAACTTTAAACAACAAATAATAAAAAATCGAAAGGTTGAAAAATTGACAAATAGAAAAGTTGAAAAATCAAAAATCGAAGCATTTTTAAAAATGTAAAATGGAAAAATTGATAAATCGAATCGTGGAGAAATAAAAAAATTGCAAGACTGTGAAATTAAAAAAACGAAAGATAGAACCATTGAAAAATTAAAAAGATTAAAATAGAAAAACAAAAAAATTGAACATAATTGAGAAATCGAAAAATTATGAAATTATAATTTTGGAAAATTTAATACTGGAAAACCAAAATTAAAAAATCGAAAATTTGAGAAATCGAGAAGTTTTCAATTCGTCAATTTTTATTTTTTTAATTCTCCACAAAAGGAACTGAAATTTTGAATAACTCAAAAAACCAAAAATTGAAAAATCGCAAAATTGAATATCCAAGAGCGAAAAATTAAAAAAATTAAAATAGAAAAATTGAACCTAGAAATCGAAAAATTGTAAGAATGTAAAATTAAAAAATCGAATGATCGAGAACTGAAAAATTTATGACTGAAAAACCAAAATTGAAAAATCAGACAATTAAGAAAAAAAAAATAGAAAAACAGAGAAATTGAATAATTGAGAAACCTAAAAATTGTTGAACTGTAAAACTGAAGAATCGAATGATCGAGAAATTGAAAAAATTAATATTGAAAAAACCAAAATTGAAAAATTTTGGTAGTAAACAACATTGGAAAAAACATTCCAATGATTTAGAATAGAACTAATTATCTAAAAAGTAATGGAAAATGAACAAAACACACACGTACTATTCAATAAAAAAATAACCAATAGCCAACAATTTTAAAATAAAAAAAATCTCTAATTTTTGTTTTAATATTTTTCCTTTTCTTCTTAATATACATTATATTCTCTGAACATGTTACTGAAAAACATGTTTTTAATTTCTTGTAAAGAAATAAGTATTTTGCAGTTAAGCTCCGCCCACTTGGTTCACGGCGATTAAAAAAATTCATCACAATGGAGACAGGGCGGGTGGGCGGGCTTATATTTTGTCTTTTTGTTTTGATATGTGTAAACTTCTTTTCACAACATGAAACTTAAAACATGTTTAAAATGGAATGTATAAGAAATATCGATTTTGCAATTAGGCTCCGCCCCATAATTGCAAATTTCCTTGCAAAAATGTACCATTTTAACCATGTTTTAAATTTTTTGTTGTGGAAAGATGGCTATGTACATTAAGAAAAAAAGAAAAATATAAGCCCCGCCCACCCACCCTAACTCAACTCTGATGATTTTTTTTATTCATTGTAAGCTGAGGAACGCAGCTTTAATTATAAAATCCTTATTTTTTTACGAGAAATTACCATGTAAAATACGTTCTTAAGTAATTATGTTTTACAAAGGAAACTAAATGTATTAATTAAGAAAGAAAACCCATTTGTCTCAATCTCATTTTTTCATTCGTTGTCAGACCGAGGGGCGGAGCGTAATTACAAAATCCATATTTCCCTATACAAATTTACCATTGTGTTAAGTTTCTTGTTGTGAAAAGATGACTACATATTTTAAGAAAAAAAAGGCAAAATGTAGCCCTGCCCACCCGTCCTGTCTCAATTGCGATGGTTTGTTTTATTCGTCGTAGGCCAAGAGGGCGGAGCTTAACTGCAAAGTCCTTATTTCTCTACGAGAAATTAAAAACATGTTATTCAGTATCGTGTTGTTCAAAGCATACTATGCATGAAGTTGAACCCTTCTATAACGAGAACTCAAGGGACCTTTGAATTTATTCGGAATAAGCGATTTTAGTAGGAAACAACGCAGGAAAAAACATTCCAACGCTTTAGAATAGAGCTGATTACCTAAAAAGTAATGGAAAATGAACAAAACACACACGTACTATTCAATAAAAAAATTCTAATAGCCAACAATTTTTAAATAAAAAAAATCTCTTATTTTTGTTATAATATTTTTCCTTTTTCTCTTAATACACATAGTATTCTTTGAACATGATACTGAAAAACATGTTTTTAATTTCTTGTAAAGAAATAAGTATTTTGCAGTTAAGCTCCGCCCACTTGGTTCACGGCGAATAAAAAAAATCATCACAATGGAGACAGGGCGGGTGGGCGGGTTTATATTTTGTCTTTTTGTTTTAATATGTGTAAACTTCTTTTCACAACATGAAACTTAAAACATGTTTAAAATGGAATGTATAAGGAAATATAAATTTTGCAATTAGGCTCCGCCCCATTATTGCTAACTTCCTTGCAAAAATGTAGCATTTTAACCATGTTTTAAATTTTTTGTTGTGGAAAGATGGCTATGTATATTCAGAAAAAAAGCAAAATATAAGCCCCGCCCACCCACCCTAACTCAATTCTGATGATTTTTTTATTCATTGTAAGCTGAAATTTTAAAAACTGCAAACTTGAAAAATGAAAACTAGTAAAATAAAAAAAATGAAATTAGAAAAATAGAAAAAATGAATATAATTGAGAAATCGAAAAATTGTTGAACTGTAAAAATTAAAAAAATTAAAATAGAAAAATAGAAAAATTGAACCTAGAAATCGAAAAATTGTAAGAATGTAAAATTAAAAAATCGAATAATCGAAAACTGAAAAATGTATGACCAAAATTGAAAAATCAGACAATAAAAAAAAAATAAAATTGAAAAACAGAGAAATTGAATAATTGAGAAATCGAAAAATTGTTGAACTGTAAAACTGAAGAATCGAATGATCGAGAAATTGAAAAAATTAATATTGAAAAAACCAAAATTGAAAAATTTTGAAAGTTTTCATTTTCTCGATTTATGATTTTTCAGTTTTCACCAAAAGGAACAAATTTATTGAAAATGAAATTTTGAAAAACTGAAAACCAAAAAAATTAAAAACTCGAAAAGCTGAAAAGCAAACAAATGAAAAATAGAAAAAATTAAAATAGAAAACTAAGAAATTGAATAAATGAGAAATCGAAACATTTAAAAATTGTAAAATTGAAATATCCGATAATTAAGAAACTGTAAAATTTAATGTTGAAAAACCAAAAATTGAAATACTGAGAAATCGAAAAGTTTTCATTTTATCAATTGGAAAAAGGAATTGAAATTTTGATTAATTGAAAAGTCAAAAAATTGAAAAATCGGAAAAATTAAAACACCGAAAATCGAAAATTGCTAGACTGTAAAATTGAAAAATCGAGAAAGCATACTATGTATAATATTCTCTATAACGAGAACTCAAGGGACCTTTGAATCTATTCGGAATATGCGATTTTAGTAGTAAACAACATAGGAAAAAACATTCCAATGGAAAATGAACAAAACACACACGTACTATTCAATAAAATGTTTTTCATTTCTTGTAAAGAAATAAGTATTTTGCAGCTAAGCTCCGCCCCCTTGGTTCACGGCCAATAAAAAAAATCATCACAATGGAGACAGGGCGGGTGGGCGGGTTTATATTTTGTCTTTTTGTTTTAATATGTGTAGACTTTTTTCACAACATGAAACTTAAAACATGTTTAAAATGGAAAATTTGTATAAAAAAATATCGATTTTGCCCCATAATTGCAAAATCCATACTTCCTCACAAAAGTGTACCATTTTAACCATGTTTTAAATTTTTTCTTTTGAAAAGATGGCTATGTATATTAAGAAAAAAAAGTAAAATATAAGCCCCGCCCACCCACCCTGTCTCAATTCGGATGATTTTTTTATTCGTCGTACTCCGACGGGTAGAGCTTAATTGTAAAATTCTTATTTTTCTACGAGAATGAAAATCTATCAAGACATTATTTCTCTCTCTACTTTTACATTTCCTCGACCTTTCATGACCTCTAGAGTACGAAAAAATAGGTCTCCCGTTTCTGTCTGTCTGTCTGTCTGTCTGTCTGTCTACCGTCCTGATTTTGTATATGTAAACACACTAAATTACACAACGTGGAAATCAAGGGATCCAAAGCTTGCACTTTTTAGACGTGGTATGAATCTATGCCTTGTCATTTTAATGTACGATGCACTACAAACTGTGAAATTCGAACTTCAGCTGCAAGTCGGCGAGTGCTGATGTCGGGCTCTTTTTCAACACCTTCCAAAATTTGTTCTTCAGCTTGCGGAATTTTTTCGGTCCTATCACGGTGACGATCGTGTTTGAGGGTTGTTGTTGTTTGTACTCTAGGTGGCCATGAAATGAAATGTCAAAAATGTGTCATCTGCAGATTTTCACCTCGTTTGTTATAAATTTGGACTTTCTCTTTGTTCATATTTTGAAGTATTTGTAAAGTGTACATATTGATTCAACTGTTAAACCGGAAAGATCGATAAGGATTTATCAGTTTATCTGCTTTATATAGTTAACGAAATCTGTATAGCTTGTCAGTAAAATAATGAGTATGAATGCGTTAACACGCAGTTTTTTGTATGTTTTATGCATTTCAACCTTGGTAAGTCTTGTAACGAAAACATTTCCGATTTATTAAAGTCTTGCCAGGTACTTTCGACGCTTGTGATAGGCTGCGGTGTGTTGCTAATTCTCAACCAGAATAAAAATCCCACATCCTTAGATATCCCAGTGATTGTATCCGGCGTGGTAATCTTCTTAGTGTCGTTCTTCGCTTCCTGCACAGCCCTTAAAGACCACATCAAACAGCTAATCGGCGTACGTAGTTCCTTCCTCCCATTTTTGTATTATTATTTTTGCAATTTATAGCTCTGCCTCTATGTTTGCCTGTGTGGCTTCCTGTGCCATCAATTCCGATAAGATTATTTACTCAGAAAACAATCCAAGCCGAGCGGAGTTGCCAAACCACATCAAAATTTATGTGAGCTCCTCCAAGAAATGGATCCTGTTTGTGAACCACCCCCTTCTGTATCTATTAACGTTGCAATAAAAACCGCAGCGAAATTAAGGAAGCCGTGATTCATCCCCGTTTCGATTTCCTGCCGAAAAAGCGCCACCTCTCCAAATTTCCGTTTAATAATTTTCTCCCAAACAGCCATAAACCCGCCGATTTAACCCGATCGATTCTGCATGGATGCGAGACGAACACTTATTCGCAGCGAGAATCACCAAAAGGCAAATTGAATTACGGAAGGGAATTAGGAGAGAGGGTGGCTCGCTTGAGGTTACGATTATTGCTGGAACATTCGCAGACACGAGCTTCCGAAGGACAAAATACTCGCAAAGAAAAATCGACGGTCTTTGCTCGGGATCAAACTTTGATCGGGAGGACGCTCCCATTAGGGACGGCCGGGGCTTTGGCCTGTTACGGTGAGTTCGGCAGGCTGATTTGTTTATTTTTTATCATTAGGGGGTTTATAGGGTCGGAGCTGTGGAGAAGAACTCCTAGTGGCGGAATTAAGGGGCAAGTTAAGTCTCAAAGAACCGAGAACCAATGACGTTGAGACATTTTTTACCAAGAAGTCGATACTCCACTGAAAAGAACGATTTTTTTTCTAGACAGCTTTAAACAGCAGAAATGTATTTTTCCAATAATGTTTTAAGTGTATAAAAGTCAAAGTTATACAATGAATAAAGACAAAAAAAAATCTAAAATAATTGATGATCATTAAGATTTCATCGCGAATTGCATACTCCATCACATAAACAAGACGCATAAAACAAAAATAATGAACATATTAAATATGCTCGATATCATAACAACGTGGTTTTGCTACACCCTTCGCTGTGAGAGGAATGTCCGAGAATAAGTGTTCAAAATTCAACTTGTAGAACATCTAAATAATAACACAAAATTGACATAAAATCTCTCTTTCCGTTTCAAGTCCCGATCAAACCTTGATCAAGTCCCGATCAAACCTTGATCAGGAATTATTTTTTTTGTTGACATTACAAGATTCAGGATTCTATTGTTATTATTTGTGACATAATTGTGCTGTTGCAATTGACTGAAATTCATAAAATTATTGAGTACATGGCATCTTGACGAAAAATTCTTGGTTTTCCTAATACACGCATAAAACTCTGGAATATTGAAGTCACCTACTATCAGTGTTATATCATGTACTTGGTATTCTTATAGATCATCCAAAACATTTTCGTATATCTGAGTACTACTCTCAGGAGGAGTAAAAAGATTTATGACAGTCAGCAAAATTTACCATTCTAAATATGTTTTAAGTTTCTTTTTGTTGTTTTGTTGTTGCTTATAGCTATCGAAATTGTACTGTATTTAGTTCACAAAAACATTCCCCATCAATTTTAGATTCACACTTATACAAGATTTAATGTTATCGATAGTAACCACAATCACAAAATTTAATAAAACCAGTTCTGAGTAACATATGCTTACAAAAACATATCAAACAGATTTTTTTTAAAAAGAATCAAATTCAACAATGAAATTCGCCAGATTTTAATAGGCCACGACCAGGAACCAATCAGGAAGTCAGATTATATTAGTGGCGCAGTGTTGCTAATGAAATAAAACAGTAAAAATACAACATATTGGACGTAATTCTAACCTCAAGTTTACAATTTGCTGTTTCAAGTATTATATTGCTGAGAGAAAACTGTATTAAAAAAAGTGAAAGGTTAGGCCCCACCCGCTCACCCGATCTCAAGTGTGATGAAATTTTCATTCGTTGTCAGAGCGAGGGGCGGAGTTTAATTGCAAAATCCATATTTCTTTGCCATAAGTTACATGGTTTAAGTTTCTGGTAATGAAATGGAGATAAATATATTAAAAACGCAGGGCTAAATATAAGCTCCGCCCACCCACCCACCCGATCTCCATTGTGATGATTTTTTCATTCGCCGTGAGTCGGGGGGAGGAGTTTAATAGCAAAATTCATATTTCTCAACAAAAATTTACCATTTTAAACATGTTTTAAGTTTCTTGTTATGAAATGGAGATTAGATATAGTAAAACAGCAGGGCTAAATATAAGCCCCGCCCGCCCACCCGATCTCAGTTGTGATGATTTTTTCATTCGTCGTGAGCCGGGAGAAAGAGCTTAATTGCAAAAGTAATATTTCTTTACAAAAATTTACAATTTTGAACATCTTTTAAGTTTCTTGTTATGAAATGGAGATTAGATATATTAAAAAACAGGGTTAAATATAAATCCCGCCCACCTGCTCGATCTCAGTTGTGATGAATTTTTTTCATTCGTTGTCAGAGGGAGGGGCGGAGTTTAATTGCAAAATCCATATTTCTCTACACAAATTTACCATTTTGAACATGTTTTAAGTTTCTCAGTGTTATGAAAAGATGATTAGATATATTAAAAAGACAAGGCTAAATATAAGCCCCACCCGCCCGGGGTCCGCCCGATTTCAGTTGCCTAGACTTTTTTTCATTCGTCGTGAACCGGTAGGCGGAATTTAATTTCAAAATTTGTATTACTTTATAAAAATTTACCATTTTGAACATGTTTTAAGTTTCTTGTCATAAAAAGATTAGATATTTTTAAAAAACGAAGCTAAATATACGCCCCGCCCACTCGCCCGATTTCAGTTGTGATGATTTTTTTTATTCGTCTTCAGGCGGAGGGGCGGAGCTTAATTGCAAAATCCATATTTCATTTTTTTCGACACAAGCTCTTTTTACTCATTTCTGACAAAAAAAAACTAGAGAGAGAGTTTCTCCTGCAGGTACTAGAGTTTTGTGAGTTGAAAACAGTGGTGAAAGCCGCATTCCAATATTTCCATAAATAATCGAGATATTGATTTTTAAACATATGCACAATGAAACATTTTTTAATCTATTCATTTATTTAAATTTAATATGTTTTAATTACATATCCAAACTAAATTGGACTTAAAATCCATATTTCTCAATAAAAATTTACCACTTTGAACATGTTTTAAGTTTCTTATTATGAAATGGAGATTAGATATATTAAAACAGCAGAGCTAAATACAAGCCCCGCCCACCCGCCCGATCTCAGTTATGATGATTTTTTTTATTCGTTGTCAGAGGGAGGGGCAGAGTTTAATTGCAACATCCATACTTCTCTATATAAATTTACCATTTTGAACATGTTTCAAATTTCTTATTGTTATGAAAAGATTAGATATATTAAAAAGACAAGGCTAAAAATAGGCCCCACCCACCCGCCCGATTTCAGTTATCACGACTTTCTTTCATTCGTTGTGAACGGGGAGGCGAAGCTTAATTGCAAACTCCGTATTTCTCTACAAAAATTTACCATTTTGAACATGTTTTAAGTTTCTTGTTCTGAAATGGAGATTGGATATATTAAAAAAGCACAGCTAAATATAAGCCCCGCCCACCCACCCGATCTCAATTGTGATGATTTTTTTCATTCGACGTGAGCCGGGAGGAAGAGCTTAATTGCAAAATTCATATTTCTCTACAAAAATTTACCATTTTGAACATGTTTTAAGTTTCTTGTTATGAAATGGAGATTAGATATATTAAAACAGCAGGACTAAATATAAGCCCCGCCCACCCATCCGATCTCAGTTGTGATGATTTTTTTTCATTCGTTGTGGGCCGGGAGGAGGTGCTTAATTTGCAAAATTCATATTTCTCTACAAAAATGTATCACTTTGAACATGTTTTAACTTTCTTGTGATGAAATGGAGATTAGATATATTAAGAAAGCAAGACTAAATATAAGCCCCGGCCTCCCGCCCGTTCTCAGTTATGATGATTTTTTTTCATTCGTTGTCAGAGGGAGGGGCGGAGTTTAATTGCAAAATTCATATTTCTCTACAAAAATTTACCATTTTGAACATGTTTTAAGTTTCTTATTGTTATGAAAAGAAGATTAGATATATTAAAAAGACAAGGCTAAATATAAGCCCCACCCACCCGCCCGATTTCAGTTGTCACGACTTTTTTTCATTCGTTGTGAACCGGGAGGCGGAGCTTAATTGCATAATCCGTATTTCTCTACAAAATTTACCATTATGAACATGTTTTAAGTTTCTTGTTATGAAATGGAGATTAAAATTAAAAAAGCAGAGCTAAATATAAGCCCCGCCCACCCACTCGATCTCAATTGTGATGATTTTTTTCATTCGACGTGAGCCGGGAGGAAGAGCTTAATTGAAAAATTCATATTTTGATACAAAAATTTACCATTTTGAACATGTTTTAAGTTTCTAATTGTTATGAAAAGAAGATAAGATATATTAAAAAGACAAGGCTAAATATAAGAAAAACCCACCCGCCCAATTTCATTTCTCACGACTTTTTTTCATTCGCTGTGAACCGGGAGGCGGAGCTTAATTGCAAAATCCATATTTCTCTACGTAAATTTACCATTTTGAACATGTTTTATGTTTCTTGTTATGAAATGGAGATTAAATATATTAAAACAGCAGGGCTAAATATAAGCTCCGCCCACCCGCCCGATCTCAGTTGTGATGGTTTTTTTTTCATTCGTCGTGAGCCGGCAGGAGGTGCTTAATTTGCAAAATTCATATTTCTCTACAAAAATTTATCATTTTGAACATGTTTTAAGTTTCTTGTGATGAAATGGAGATTGGAGATATTAAAAAAGCAGGACTACATATAAGCCCCGCCCACCCGCCCGTTCTCAGTTATGATGATTTTTTTGTATTCGTTGTCAGAGGGAGGGGCGGAGTTTAATTGCAAAATCCATATTTCTCCACATAAATTTACCATTTTGAACATGTTTTAAGTTTCTTATTGTTATGAAAAGAAGATTAGATATATTAAAAAGACAAGGCTAAATATAAGCCCCACCCACCCGCCCAATTTCAGTTCTCACGACTTTTTTTCATTCGCTGTGAACCGGGAGGCGGAGCTTAATTGCATAATCCGTATTTCTCTACAAATTTTACCATTATGAACATGTTTTAAGTTTCTTGTTATGAAATGGAGATTAAAATTAAAAAAGCAGAGCTAAATATAAGCCCCGCCCACCCACTCGATCTCAATTGTGATGAATTTTTTCATTCGACGTGAGCCGGGAGGAAGAGCTTAATTGCAAAATTCATATTTTGATACAAAAATTTACCATTTTGAACATGTTTTAAGTTTCTAATTGTTATGAAAAGAAGATTAGATATATTAAAAAGACAAGGCTAAATATAAGCCCCACCCACCCTCCCGATTTCAGTTGTTACGACTTTTTTTCATTCGTTGTGAACAGGGAGGCGGAGCTTAATTGCAAAATCCGTATTTCTCTACAAAAATTTACCATTTTGAACATGTTTTAAATTTCTTGTGATGAATAGGAAATTAGACATATTAAAAAAGCAAGACTAAATATAAGCCCCGCCCACCCGCCCGATCTCAGTTATGATGATTTTTTTTCATTCGTTGTCAGAGAGAGGGGCGGAGTTTAATTGTAAAATCCATATTTCTCTACATAAATTTACCATTTTGAACATGTTTTAAGTTTCTTATTGTTATGAAAAGAAGATTAGATATATATTAAAAAGACAAGGTTAAATATAAGCCCCACCCACCCGCCCGATTTCAGTTGTCACTACTTTTTTTCATTCGTTGTGATCCGGGAGGCGGAGCTTAATTGCAAAATTCATATTTCTCTACAAAAATTTACCATTTTGAACATA